GATGGATGACACTCTAAGCAATCTGATTACCCATGCCTTTTCCCGGCATTCTTTTGTGGCCCGGAACCCAGTATATAAGTAACCGTTTTCCGACTATAGCTAAGAGGGCTCTGAAAGCATATAATTTTTATCCTAAATCAGCAATGATTATCCCAACGTAAAAGATTTTGAAGTAAATTTTTGACAATGTTAAGACCTCCTAACTTTCTAAAGTTAAGTACCTAAGGAGTAGATAACACACTAAAAAAAGAAGGTGTGACGATTTTAAGTACGAAGATCTTTACAGGTCTATTATGATGTGCAGAGCTCTGGTATCTCCCGTCGGATTGATGCCATGACATTTGGCATTGGACCGCCTATTGACTTAAAATTGTACCGTAAAGGAAAGCTAAAACTCTTAACATCTCTTTAAAAATTCTAAACATATCTTGGTAGATGATCTTGGCTTTGACATGTCGCCATCAGACTAAAATTTATGGATCTTAACTATTTGCAAAAATAACGTCGAGAGAGCCAAGTTTATAAAAAAAATGTAATAAACGATAGAAACTATAAAGCAAATAAATATATAACAAATTCGTATTTTGTACCACCAATTACACTGTCTACAATTACTTCATGTACGTTTCATTTCAGATCTCCCCCACAAATTCATCAGTGCCAAATCCACAATGCACGATTATACGCCMTTACTAGATGGCAGCCAGCGCGCTGTGGACGATGGTAAATGCAGTAAAACGGGTAGCCGCAAGGAGAAATATGCGCTACGTGAGCGCCAAAAGCGGCGGCTTGGTTTGGCGAGTGTGGTCGAAATACCGAAACGTTCAAACYACAGAGGTAAGCTATGAACTGAAGAATACACCGACGCGCACATAGCTCTTCGGAAATGCTAAATCTCTATATTTGTACATTGCAGATGATATGGAAACGGCCACAGGACAAAAGCGTACAGCAAGCAGCACAGCTTCCAAATCGAAAGCGCCGCCGCTCAGCAAATATCGACGGAAAACCGCTAATGCGCGCGAACGCACACGCATGCGTGAAATCAATACCGCATTCGAGAATTTGCGGCAYTGTGTGCCGCCGAGCATAGCAGTCGAAGAGTCGGGACCRACCAATGAGAAACTAACGAAAATCACAACATTGCGTTTAGCCATGAAATATATCGGTTTGCTGACGGACGTGCTGCATAATCCCGACTTTAAAGGTGAATTGCCGTTAGACTTTTTATGTGCCAGTGAGGAGCCAGTGATATATCAGCCCACAACCGTGATGCCCACTATGAAAATGGAGCCCGAAATTGCTATTACAGCRTCAAAGAGCAACAAGGCAGCAAATAAGACGGCAGCAGCGCACAAAACGAAAACTGCGGCGCTGCCGAAGGCGCCAAAACGTTTGGGCAAGCGTAAAAAGAAGGATGTGAAATCCGCACCGGCCACACAGCCCAGTAAACGTAATACAAAGTCGACGCAGTGTCGTATACCAACGCAATCAARCAACACATCCTCGTCCATCTCCTCCTCATCGTTTGTTACCTGTAGTGGCGATTCGCTCTCGTCACACTCATCGAGCTTCCTCGATAACATAACCAGTCCGAATTATTCCAGTAGTTTTGTGCCTGCTATGTCCGAACTTAATAGTCTAACGCTCGAGTCGGATGGCGAGTCGCTACATCTTTCAGATCCGTGTAACAGTCCTTTGCAAGATAAATACGACAGACTCTTTGGCACTGGCGCTTTGAACACCCGCACGTCGGCGGAACAAACAATTTTAGGTGATATCGATACGCCGCTAGAGTTGAGCTTACAATTCCTTGGCACAACACCTAGTTCACTGGAYTTCTCTATGGAGCAGCCACCGACGACATGCATTAGTCCGCTTGTGGCTTTAGATTCATTCAATCCATTTAGCGATTTTCTGCATGAATATCCGGAACAGGCATCATTAGACTTATTTCTGACATAACACAACCGAGTTCGGTGTAAACTATACCTTCACTTTTACTAGTATCTAACTTAGTTTGAATTTGCTTTTATTGCTCGTGTGAGCTTTATCACTATCATTTCACGTGGCCATCACTAGTATTTCACATTATTTCTCTTACGTTTTAATTTAATACTCGTTACTTATGTTAATTAAATAAAGATATATAAATATATATGTATATGATGCATTTAATCGAACTGTACTGAGGGAGTGCGTGTTAAACTTACATACTTACTCGAATAACAAATGATCTGTAATAATGCATTACTCTTACGTCCCTATTTTATGGAGTTGACTGTATTTTTTAACTATTTTTTTTATATTTTTTTATGCTTTGTATGAAATTAAGCTAACACTTTGAGATTGTTTTTGTATAGTTAGGAACAAGTTTTTTATTGTAAACATTTTACTATGAAAATATTTATTTTTTTATTATTAACAAAATATTCCCAATAATTGTTGATTTTTTATTAATTATATATACACAATATATTAAAGCAGACAAAAACTGTCGCAATGTTTTAACACAGATACTAAGGTTTCAATAACAAATAAATAAATGCAACAAAAAGACAACAACAAAAAGTTTGTGGACTTTTCATTAGTAAAGAGTGATACATTGCAAGGCGTGATACCTTTTTAAAAAAGAAATACATAAACTTCAAATTTAATGTGGAATGTTCATTGGAAGGAACATTCTTTGGAAATTATTATTTTTTTTTTTAGATTATCTCTTTCAAATGTTGGCAGCGGCTACGTCTAAGATGATCCATCCGTTGTGTCCAATTTTTGATGACTCCTTTGAGCATTTCGTCTGGTACGCMTTGATGCATTGCACCAAGACCTGAATCGAAGAGAGATTGCCGCGTGGACTTTAGACTTTACATATCTCCACAGGAAAGGTCTAGTTTAGGGTTAAGATACATTCGAATGCGACTTTCTCAGCAAAATTTGCAGCGTTTCAAAAAGGATAAAGTGGATTTTGTACATATTCATCACTATGGGTGAGACTTGGGTCTATTACCATAATCGTGATTTAAAACAGAGGCTAAAGAGTGGTGTGAACCTGGTTGTTCAAATTCGAAACGAGTTCCTGTCCGGAAATCGGCCAAGAAGGTTATGGCATCAGTCTTTTTGGGATGCGAGAGGAATTATGTTTTTGGATTACTTGCAAACTGGTAAAACAATTCATTCTGAATATTATTGCAACCTTTTGGACTAGGTGAAGGAAAAATTTCGTGAAAAAATACCCGGATTGCAGAAGAAAAAAATCCCTTTTCATCAGGACAATGCTCCGTGTCACAAGAGTATTTTGACAATGGCTTAAATCCATGAATTAAAGTTCGAATTGTTTAAGCATCCACCGTATTCAAAAAAAATTTGGCACCCAGTGACTTCCCTTAGTTTCCAGAACTCAAAACATGTATGCGTGGCAAGCGTTTTTCATCAAATGAAGAGGTTATAACGGCTATTGAATGCAAGGTTTTTCAAATATAATGCTTACAAGAAGGGTKTGAGCAATAATAGACATGTGTATCACATCATCACATAACATATAATGAATATACATAATATACATAATACAAACAGTATCATAATTGATAGAGWRATAATAAAATKTAATAAATAACCGTTTGTGACCGACTTACCTGTACTTGTTGTAAATTTAGCTCTTCTGGTTGTTGCTAAACTCACAGCATTTCCACAGTTGCATATCATTAAATCTTTGCGCACGAAGACGATTTTATATGGCGATATATTTACCAATAAACGCAGATATAATATTATTGATTTTAATGATTTTTGAAGTAACTGAATTTAAAACCACTGAGAATCATTAGCTTCTTACACGAAAGGCCTCCCACGCACGAAGGACTATACATTTTTTACCTATTTACAATTTAAAATTTAGCAAACAATTCTTCCTGACATTCATCGAAATTCATTATAATCACTGCTTAACGCACAAARACTGAGTAACTATTTACAAAAACACACATTTTCAGTGTTTTAATTATGTTACTTTTTACTTTTTGTTAATTTCAATACATTACAATAAGCRAATTTACATCTGCTACACATTACACAAATAATTTTCAAAGCCCCGGGGCACAAAGTCACTCAGTTTAGTCTTCCAAATTACAGGTATCCAATTTATATTAGGGAAAACACTAACGCGCGACAGATTTTGAATGAAATCAATACAATTCAATATTATTTTCCTATTGAAGTCATCTCATAGCAGTTCTGTTCATCACCATATATACATACACCAGATACGTAAGTACATTCTAGATCGCGACTCTCTCTAAAAATATTGCAGATGAACGCTGATGAAATACATAGCCGGCACCAATGTTTTATTGGCTACAACTGGTCTTAATGCAGATAAGCTTAATTGCAAATGTTGAATAACATGTTCAGTTCCCTTTATAATGCACAGCATCCAGCATCCAACATCCGGAAAGAGTTTTAAATGTTTGGTTGAAAGRTTATCGAGTGGCTTCCTCAACCGAAACCGAACGTGAATTTAGTCAACATTTATAACGCAAAACATTATTGTTGCTTTTATGTTTTAGCAACACATTATTTTTCACTATATTCAACAAAAAAAGCTCTCAATATAGTTCAAAACCAATTTAATTGCACATTTTCACTCGCGATAAAATTTGAAAGACTTTTAGCAGCCGGTTCTGACAGGAAACGGCATATTTGGCGCATAGCTACAGGGCTGCATGTAAAACTAAAAAATTCTGCTCAAATATTTTTGGAATATTTTTTTTTTTTATTTAAAAGAAATTATTTTGAAGTTAAATTAGGCAAATGCAAAAGATTTYATTCATTTTCTTAAAATATAAACTTATGATTTACCATTGACAACGAAATTTATTAAACCTTTATTTTGTTTTTGTTGAAACTTTTCTTATATTCACTACAGCAGTGGCAACACAATATTTTGTTTACCGCGTCACAAAACCGGCAACGCTGCGCTCATCAGCTGTTTTGATGTTTTACACAATGCGGTTGCATGATAAAAAAATTGYAAATTGTTTGACATTAAGTGAATGATATTAAGCCGTAAGTTGCAAGTGAAATTWGTGCTCCAATATATGCTTAATACAGTCATAATGGATATCGACAATACTCTACTGCTGCCGAATAGCGAGCACAAATCTGACATAAAGACTCCATTTCTAATTGGTGTGGCTGGTGGAACTGCCAGTGGAAAAGTGAGTATAGCTAAGGAGCTGTTGCTGTTGCAAAGGGGCTACTCAGGGATAAACCCAGGCAAATCTCCTGGGTCCTCCAATTTCCAGTTATATGAAAGTGCTCTTAAAGTRTTGTGAAATAAATGACTTAAATATAATATTGGTTGTAAAAAAAGTCTTACGGTATTTTCGCTAGTTGACGCCATAGATATCTATCGTCGCATCCGGTCATGCTATACCTTTTTGGAAAGCTCATTTCACGCGCTAACGCCTATTTGATTGATTGTCGTTTCTTTTAAGTGGTCGTGAGTTATAGCTTCGCAAACATGGAGCAAAATACGGYATATTTTACAGTACTACWACGATAAAGGCAAAAMTKYRTCTCAAGYMGCCAATAAAATTTGTGCAGTTTATGGACCCGATACAGTTTCCATTTCCACCGCACAAYGATGGTTTCAACGTTTTCGTTCTGGTGTAAAGGTGGTCGAACAGGCTCCGGAAGGCCTGTCGTCGAAAGTTGCGATAAAATCAAGAGCTGGGCAAGGGTCACAAAAAAAATTTTATGAACAATTGAAAATTCAATAAAAATACCGCAAGACTTTTTTGACAACCAATATATGAATGTGATATGCGGCAGAAAAAATTAAAGGAAATTTCTAGGAAGCAGCATTGTTGCAAGCATTTAGGGTTTGCAAATTTGTTTATTTTAAATCTTATATTACAATCCAAAAATTTTGGCGCATTCTGTTGAAATTAAATGTTTATATTTTAATTGTTTACTTGCAGTCGACAGTATGCAAAAAAATCATGATACAACTAGGGCAAGCCGACATGGAACAAGCACAACGACAAGTAAAGTATTTATACAATCATACGTTGTTTCTAATTTATGTTATTTTAATAATTTTTTTTACATGGTTTTGTTTACGTAGGTTGTGTCCATAAGTCAAGACAGCTTCTATCGTGAGCTAACGCCCGCTGAGAAAGCCAAAGCGAAGAAGGGCCTATTCAATTTCGATCATCCTGATGCATTCAATGAAAATTTAATGTATGATACGTTGCAGGAAATATTGAAGGGCAGAATAGTGAAAGTGCCCTGCTACGAYTATCGCTCAAATTCGCTGTAAGCTTTTACATTTTTATTGCTCTTTTATTTTAGTATTTATTTCATTTGTCTATTTCACTTATCTGACAGTGATCATGAAAACAAGCTTACCATTTATCCGGCTGATGTGGTATTATTCGAGGGCATACTCGTATTTTAYTTTCCTAAAATACGCGACCTCTTTCACATGAAACTCTTCGTTGATACGGATTCTGATACGCGTTTGGCGCGCAGAGGTAACACTCCTGCCTACATAACTAAAAAATAAAGCTTTTTATAATCTTTAAATAAAATATGCTTTGTGTATACMACTTTGTAGTGCCGCGTGATATCAACGAGCGTGGGCGTGATTTGGACGCAGTGCTGACTCAGTATATGACATTTGTCAAGCCTGCCTTTGAAGAGTTTTGCTCACCGGTAAGTGGTTTCTGGATGCGCGTTCATTGACACGCAAAAATATGTGTACAGTTAATTAATTTTTTTTTTTTTTGTAAATTAATTCCTATCATTCTCATTTTTGTAGACTAAAAAATTCGCAGATGTTATAATACCGCGCGGTGCTGATAACACGGGTAAGTAATGTTTTATATTGTCTGGTTTTGTTGTTGTTGTTTTCGTTTTAAATTATTTTCTTATTTTTGTGACAATTGATAACAGTCATACTATGTACATATACATATATGTACAYATGTAGGTAAATGTAGCATTTAGTTGCGCTTCTTCGGTTGTTACTATGTTACTTTATAAAACGACTAAAAGATTACATAGTTTGTTATTATGCTAATTTTAACCTATTTCTTAAAAGCTTTTATTAATACATATATTGCAAAAACAACATACACACTACAATTTTTTCAGGTCATCAAACAAAAAAAAACAAAAAAAAAAGAAGTAAAAACTAATTTATTTTTAAATTAATTGTTGTTGTTACGTATTATTATTATTTTTTTTAATCTTCTGAAATTGCACCAAGCAAAAAAAAAGCTGTTATTGTAAAAAGAAAAAGAAAAACATGTTTAGTGCTTGATTTCCAGTTTTCCGTTTTTTTGTTACTTGTTATATTTCTTACAGTTGCCATTGATCTCATTGTACATCATATCGGAGAAATTCTTAGACCCGGCGGCAGCACTAACAACCTAAATGCCTACTCGTCAGTGCACACAGCAATAAATAATACAGCTGACGGCATGGTGCGCGAACACTAGAATTAAATAGATAAACAATTAGGCAAACCARAATAAACACAAATACATACATACATGTGTATACCTAATAATAAGATAGGATCAAAACGATTGGCAAATTAATTAGACGAGCAAATATTTACATACCAACACACATTCATGCATACATACAGGCGCACAAGTGCCCATGTGTCGCGTTGTATAAGTTCGAGAGTGTGCTAAGCACACTGTCAGCACCCTTGAAGTTGAAAACTACAAAAAAAAAAAAAGGCCGCACAATATAAAAAAATATTCTGCAAATTAATTAACCACTGCGCTGTCTCTCCTTTTTGTAATTTTTCATAGCATTAAGCATAACAGTAGCTCTTGGCAAAATGTTTGTGAGCGTGTTAATTTCGCAGAAAATTAAACAAAATAAAATTTTGTGAACATTTTCTGACTTGTTTTTTTTTTTT